GAGGACTAAGGAAGCCAGAATGCTCACGTCCGGTTTTTAGAGCGATGGTACTGCAACCTGTTAACTCATTTGTTCTTCGCTTTGTCCCACCCTGTCGAGTTCTTCTTCCTGCATCACACGCTGGATCTGCTGCTCTGCTCCTTATATTCATCCTGGCGTAAAAGTTAACGGTATGTGCTCCCAAGTCCAGCTGGGAGTTAAAATTCCATCAACTCCATGTACCACCTGTGGGACCTTGGGGTCCTATGTCTGGGTTTTCTGGACTTCAGAGTGGGTGTGTCCATAGTCCCTACCTCATAGCTGCCCTGTGTTAAAGAGGGTGATGTATGTAAATGAGTAAGCCTAGTGTTTATAGACTCAGTAAGAAATACTTTAAAAACATCACACCTCTCTCTGCATTCTGGTTTCCTTGGACTGACAACCTGATGATCCTACCTGGGTGCCTTGTGCACTTAGGATCATCTTTAAAGGCATTGGGACTCAATAGACAATTACTAAAAAGCATGTGAGTTAGCAGATTAACTTACAATTTGTTATACTCCAGTTCATTTCTGGGAATCTAATATATATATATATTTTTTTCTGAGCAGGAAATTCAATAACATCACCTACTTTTTATCAAGCGCCTAACCTGTGCTGGGCCACTTACTACTAGGTGCTTAGGTATGTTATTCCTAATTCTAATAGCACCCTTGAAAATTGATATTAGTATCTGTTTTTTCCAGTTGAGGCTAAACGGAGGTTCAGAGAGGTTAAGTAACTGACCCAAGGTTCATAAGTAGCAAGGATAGAATTCAATACCAGGTCCACCTGACCTCAATTTCTTTGCTCCTTTCTTGTCACTCCTGATATTAGAGCAAGTCTCTTTAGGTGCTACCTGGAAAGTTTGATATTTGAACAGAAATTCTGAAGGTGCTAGGACCAATGACTACAGTAAATAAACTGTCCTCTACTCTCTCGACAAACTTCTTGCCTCTCTTCATCCTTTCCATCCTCTTTTTCAGTCATTCTTGCTCTCCCTTCTTTCTACCAGATGGCTAAACAAAATAATAAAACGAGAGGCAAGTTCTATTTCACATGTGGAGGTAAGAAGTTGGGTGTGGATTGTCTGTTGGAGGGACTTGGGAAAGATTCTCCCAGAATTAAGAGCTTCTACCTGACTGAATAGAACTTGCAGAATTATGACTTCATGTTCATTTATACCTAGTTCCTGAAAAACCAAAAATCAAATAAAGCAATATCATGATAACTTGTTAATGAAAAAAAGAATGTCGCACATAATAAAAAGAAAGGTGAAAAATTCACATTTGAAATGCTTAATGTCAAGCCAATTCTAACGTGCAATTAAAATAAATTCAGCTTAAAGTCATTCAGATAATCAGATAAATTGAATCTGTATTTAACCAGGTCTAATTAGTGTGTTTTTACATAACAATTTCTAAAGAGGAAAGACATATACTGTCCACTTTTTTCTGAGTCTGGGGTGGCAAAATAAATTTTCAACTCAGGTATCTGCTACAACTCCTCAAATAATTGTTTCTTTATCCCTTGTTTGACGGAGAGACAATGTCACCATCAGACCCTTGTGGGTGGCAACTGGGACAACTTTGCAGTCACATGGGCTTGTACTTCCCCTTCGTGCCCAGATGCACTAGTGTCCCTCTTGACTTCTTCACTTGTTCTTTTTGCCTGTTGACTCTTAAGTGTTACATTATCTAGGTGTATTGTAGCTACAGTTCATATTAACCCCTTTTGAGACTAGAATAGAGTAAAATAAAAATGTACTGTAATAGACACTATGTCACAGACACTTGTCTGTTACAGGATTACTTGAATTGCTTGCACTGGCGCTCTGGATGTCCCTGGTGTGTCAGGTTTCCTGTGGTCGTTAAAAAGCTGGATGAGATTTTAATCCCACGCAGAAGGGATGGTTACGTCGAATCACCTCATTTCTTGAATTTCTGATGCAATGATATAGTCATGGGAACGAGTAAATATTGGTGAGGGTATGTGTGTTCCAGATGCATCTACTGGTAACTACTCCTACTTAAAAATGGCTAACTGATCCCAAGTTCAGAGAAACAATTGAGATGATCCCCAAACTGAGGAAAAGTTAAGATACTGCAAAAGATGGAGAATAATCATACCTTTCAAATGTAATATTTTTTGAGCCAAGGAAAAGAGACAATTTAACCACGTTTGTCAGGATTTGGGAGGAAACCTCCCCCCTACAACCGTGTGGTGTATCCTTTTCTCGCCTTTTCAAGCAACGTCAGAAGTTTAGTCAAGAGCAACATCATTAGAACTTCTCTTTCAGGGCTTGTTGTGAGTTTATTTGATGTCCCACTTGGGACGTTCACAAGAGACGTTTGTCTGTCCGCAGACGAGCATATTCTGGGGTGTGGGCTGCTGCAGGAAGGCCACCTTGAGCGCAGGCAGTGACTGGAGCAACCTTTGGCTAAGGTGCATGATAAACAAGCACGAGGCAGCAGGGAGTAGTTAAAACATTGCTTGAAACGTTGCAGTGAAGTATAACCATTTATGCTACGACTTCAGAGGATTCTTCCTCTGGAAGCATTCACTACAAGCCCCTGTGAGATGTCAAGAACAGCTATTCACACGTACTTGTGAAATAAAACAAATTTATACTCACACAGAGGGGTGGTGACTCTAAAGAACTAAGCAGACTGCAATTTACATAGCTAGATACTCACACTGGAAAACAGAAACTTAAACAGAATGTTGATAAAGAAATTTCAAATATTGTTCCGCGTTTAACATGGCTTTCAGCGCTCAAGTCTATGCTGGTATTTGTCTTCCTAAGGCATACAACTCACCCACTTTGGAACCAGAGAGTGATGTGGGTGAATCTGGGAGCTGTTAGCGAAAATTCTCAGGGAAGGAATCAATGGAAAAAATGAATCACTCTTCTTTGTGAATTTCTAATTTTTTTTTAATTGCATAAATTTTAAGCTGTTATGAGTAACAGCTCCTGAATTCATTGGCTAAAGGTAGCTGTGGGATTTGAGGAGAAAAACAGCTATTAATAACAGTGGAACTCTTGAGGGACAAACAACGTCCAGTTCCCCAGTACTTGTCATTTTGTCCAACTCTGAAGCTGGGTTTGAAAACTTTTTCTGAAAATGTGTGCAAAGTTAGAAAGTATTGTTTGGAGAAGAGAAAGAGGGTAACATACTTTTGAAAGATGCAACACAAAGTTATGCCTAGTAGAGTGGCTGTGCTCATTACCCACTGGGAATGAGTTTCTGTTCCCAAACTATACATGACTTGGCATGTTGCTGACTTTAGAAGGTTGGAGTCCAGAGACCAGGTACTGGCTTTTTCTTGGGTTGTATCTGTTTCCGTATACCCCACACTGTCAGCTAGGGGTGGGTGTGCTGTTGGTTGTCAGGAAATGTCCATGTCATGAAACATACTGACAATACTAAAGGGGGGTGGGATCAACACAAAACACTCACATTTTAAAAAGTCAGTAAGAATTAAACAAGTGTACAATTAGAATAGCAGTAAGACAAGCATTCCAGCAATTTAAAATAGAACACACACCCTTTCTTCCCTTCAGGGAAATGGAGTTGGGGTGTTACATACATTCTCTATTCTGAAACGGACATATTTCTTTCTCCAATCAAATTAAATTAAACTTAAAAAAAGAAGTTACATCTGGCACCGTAGGATTCAGTGTTTGCCTTATATGTGTGTGTGTGTGTGTGTGTGTGTGTGTGTGTGTTCCAAAAGGTTAATATATTTTCCTTGCCAACCTTTGCATTCAGATGGGTGTTCTCATGGCTTTGGAGCTTTTGTTTGCATCATTAGTCTGAAATCCCTTTTAAAATGGGTGAATTAATTTGGGGGAATTAGGTTAACAAGTCATATCTGAAGTGTGCTGGTTTACATTGTGGTTTGTGGTGAGTTTATGGAGGTTTTGAGAGAAAACTTCAAGTGCTGAAAGCAAACCTTTCTCAGACCGTGGTGCCTTTATGTACTAAGCACAAAATTTCCTTTTGTGGTCTGGGGTGACGTGGATTTGGATAATAAATAACCGTAAAAAGATTTCCTGAGGTTGACTGGAAGGCATCATTGACACTTGAAGTGGTTGATTTTGCAGCTTTCTACGGTGGAGTCTGAGGTTTTCTTAAAAACACACAAACATATATATATATGGAACATCCCTTTATGATCATGTCGTATATAGGCAATAATTACCCAATCCCCTCTTAGCTCCTTCGGTGTGTGGTCCAAGCGATTAAGCATCGTTGTTTTGTGTTTCTCTCTAAATACCTTTCACTAACCAGTGTGTCCAACTTTTGGACGAGCGTGTGACTTCTCAGTTATCAAAGAGGCTTATTAAGAGTTTGAGCAAGAAACCCCCACCCTCGCGCGCACGCGCACACACACCCTGCACGGAAACCCCCTGCACGCTCGCATTAACGGTGGAAACTGTTTCCCATTAATGTGTAATCAAGAAGCAGGCAGGCCATTTACTTTGAAAAATAAAATAAGAAACCCGCCTCCCTCCCTATGTGACCTTCCTGACTGCTCCCCACCCCCCATCGCCAACCTGTTTGTCCAACTTAGCGTCTCAAAGAATCAATTCCCTTTTGGTCCCAGAACCAGGAACAAATCAAGAAGAGCTGGGTGGATTTTTTTTTTTTTCCGTCGTGAGTTAAAATATTCCAAAAGCTTCAGGCTTCCATTACAGTTGACCTTTCAGGCGTGCTGCAGCAAAAAAAGTTAATTCACTTCGCACATGTGGGGGAGCAACAGGTGGTAGCCAACCACGGGGGCTGCTGGCATTCCTCCGTGTGCAAACCCCCGGCCCCCGGTACTCTGGGATTTACACTACCTCCCCCAGGCCCTGAGTGACAAGCTAATCGGTGCGCGGGGAAGCGCTGAGCTATTGATTCCGCTGTAACAGAACACCACCCCGTCGATGAAACTGCAATGAAATGCTTCAGCAGCGAAGAAAGGGAGGCATTGGACTGTTGAACAACTGGAGGAAATTTGCTGGTAGGTAGTGCGGCAGGAATGAAAGGGCTCTCAGGAGCAGGGCCTTGAAAAGCCAGGTTATTAAAAGACCCACAAGAGCTGGGGTCTGGCTGAGCGGAGAAGCATAGTCAGGGCTCAGTTGGGCGTATCTAAAAGGGGGAGGGCTGGGGGCGGGGGCGGGGGGGCGTGCAGCTTTCAAAATTGCGTTAATCCCTCGAGTACTTAATTTCTTTTCTTTTATGGCGGCTTGTAGTATAGCAACAAGTATTCAAGCAGTTAATAATTTTAAACAGTTTAGCTTTCCTTAGGCGATAGAGCTTTAGCCTTAATTAAAATTTTATTTCAGTCGGCAAAATATTAAAATGACATTAGGATCCATCCTCTATGATGGGAAATATATGATGAGATGAATATTTTATTATACAAACTATTATTAAACACGCTTGAGTTTCACTTCAGATGTTCGAAATCCGGGCACTAGTTCTTAATAATGTTCCGGAAGCTTCCTTCTGAAATATTTTTTATTTATCTTTAATGTTTTTATTGAAGCATAGTTGATTTACAACGTTGTGTTAGTTTCAGCAAAATGATCCAGTTATACATGTGTAAATATACATACGTATATATTCCTTTTCAGATTCTTTTCCATTATAGGTTATTACAAGATATTGAATATAGTTCCCCAAGCTAT